CTTTAGTTCTAGGGGATCTGATGTCCACTTCTGGTGTCACTACACACACAGACATGCATGCAAGAAAAACATTCATACACAGAAAGATAAAAATAAGTATCTTTGCCTGGGGCTGGAGAGATGGCTCAGAGGTTAAGAGCACCGGCTGTTCTTCCAGAGGTCCTGAGTTCAATTCCCAGCAACCACATGATTGCTCACAACCATCTGTAATGAGATCTGGTGCCCTCTTCTGGCATGTAGGAATACATGCAGACAGAACACTGTATACAAAATAAATAGTTTAAAAATATTAGAAAAAAATGTTTGGAATTGGGGGGGTGGAGTGCACCTTTAATCTCAGCACTCTGGAGGCAGAGACAGGTGAATCTTTGAGCTGGAGGCCAGCATGGTCGACAGAGCGAGTTCCAGGACAGCTAGTATTATATAGAGAAACCCTGTCTCAAAAAACAAAAACAATTAAAAAAGACCCAAAAAAACAAACAAATAATAAAAGTCTTGGGCATACCTTTAATCCCAGCGCTCCTTTCTGCCCAGACTGTACAGGTTTCAGATCCCATTCCGGTCCACCTTCAGCTCTCACTATGAACTGGCTAAAGCCTATTGTGCACGCCCCAGTGAAGTCACTGTCGGCGTTTCTGGCACCCCCCCCCCGAACCGGACACTAGGTGGCGCTCATGCCACTCCAGAGCGCCTGCAGCCCACAGCTTCAGACTGTTCCACACTCCTCCCTCTCTCAGGCTGGTTTCAAAGGCTCAAGGAGCACACGGGCAGTTTATCACAGCAGCCTTTCCTCAGACAGCACCATTTTTTGTTTTTGTTTTTAGTTGTTTTTGTGTTGTTGTGACCAAAATGTCAAACAAAAACAATTTGCTGGGGGCAGGCAGTTTTGTGACTCAAGGTTTCAGAAGCAGGAAAAGCAGTAGCAGGAGCTCCAAGGCAAAGACAGTTCACACTGTGACAGAGGAGGCAGCAGAGGCAGGGTGTGTGTGTGGGGGGGTAGGAGGGGTGCATAGGACACATGGGAGATGATTGGGAAATAGTTTCCAGAGGTCCATCCCTGGGACCTGCTTCCATGAGCTGGGCTCAACCCCTTAAAACTTTCACAGCAGCCAGCCATGGTGGCGCACCACTTTTATCCTAGCGCTCCAGAGGCAGAGGCAGGAGGATCTCTGTGAGCTCCAGGAAGCCTACATGTTGAGACCCTGTCTCAAAAACTGATAAACGCGTTCCAGACCCTCTCAAATGGTCCCAGCAACTGGAGAGCAAGCATGAGAAACGTGAGTCTGTGAGAGACACTTCAGACTGGAGGAGTGACAGGCTTCAGCATATGCCCTCTACTTGCTGAACCAGAATAAGAATAGAGACTGTGATATCGTGCCCAGCCCTGCCTGTGTGCACAGAGATAAGCAGGAGGTAATGTGAGGACAGACCGCGCAGCAAGCCAGGGCAGAGCCAGAGAGAAATTAATCAAAGAATCCAAGATCTACATGCGGTGACTTCAGAGACAATGGACCAGCTCTTCATATGGATAGAAATGTAATGAGTCTTTCTCTGTCCTTCCAGCCAGCTCATAAATAAGGACATGGAGACTTACTATTACATATGAAAGCTTGGCCTTAGCTTAGGCTTGTTTTTAACTAGCCTAACATAATTTATTTACTTATTTAAAATTTATTTATTATGTATACAATGTTCTGCCTGCATGTATCCCTGCAGGCCAGACGAGGGCGCCAGATCTCATTATGGATGGTTGTGAGCCACCATGTGGTTGCTGGGAATTGAACTCACGACCTCTGGAAGAGCAGCCAGTGCTCTTAAACTCTGAACCATCTCTCCAGTCCATTTTTTTAAAGAGCCTAACGTAATTTAAATTAACTCATTTCTATTAATGTACTTTCTGTCACATACTGCGCATCCTGCTTCTGTGTCTCCCGGAGTCTCTGGCATGCAGATTCACCTCCTACTTCCTCTATGCCCAGATGTTCTGCCTATACCTCTTGCCTAGCTATTGCCTATTCAGCTTTTTATGAAACCAATCACAGCAGTATATCTTCACACAGTGTACAAATATCCCACAACATACGAAGGCCAGACCTAGGGAGACTAGAATTCCTGCTAGCTAGCATCTGCCATCCTGGAATCTGTTAGCAAATTAGAAATGGACTCCTCCCACGCAAAACTTGGCTGTCTCAAAAAGGAAACAAAACATAACAGTAATGCTAAAAGCTGGAGAGTTGGCTGGCTCACCAGTTAAGAGCACTGGCTGTTGCCTGGCGTTGGTGGTGCACGCCTTTAATTCCAGCTCTCGGGAGGCAGAGGCAGGCGGATCTCTGTGAGTTCGAGGCCAGCCTGGTCTACCGAGTGAGTTCCAGGACAGCCTCCAAAACAATACAGAGAAACCCTGTCTCGAAAAAAAAAAACAAAAAACAAAACAAAACAAAAGCACTGGCTGCTGTTCCCAGCACCCACATGGTTGCTCACAGCCCTCTGTAGCTCTAGTTGCAGGGGATCTGACACTTCCTGTTGGCCTCCACAGGCAATTGGGTACACAGACATAAATTTAGGCAAAATGTCCAGACACAAAAAATTAAAACAGTAAAGGTAAGGTAGGTGGTGGTGGTACATGACTTTAATCCCTGTACTTGGAAAGCAGAGGCAGGTGGATCTCTGTAAGTTGGAGACCAGCCTGGTCTACAGGACAGCCAGAACTGTTACATGGAGAAACCCAGTCTTGAAAAACCACAAACAAACAAACAAACAGTAAAGCTAAGTGGAAGATAATTTACCACTATATCTACTGTAAATATATATATATTCGAGACAGGGTTTCTCTGTATTGTTTTGGAGGCTGTCCTGGAACTCGCTGATTTATATTTTTATTTCATTTAATTAATTTTATTTTCGAGATGGGTTTCTCTGTGTAACAGCCTTGATGTCCTAGAACTCGCTCTGTAGACCAGGCTGATCTCAAACTCACAGAGATCCACCTGCCTCTGCCTCCCAAGTTGTTGTTGTTGTTATTATTATCGAGACAAGGTTTGTCTATGTAGGCCTAGCTGACCAGGAACTGTGTATGTAGACCAGGCCTTGAACCCACAGATATCCACCTGCTTCTGCCTCCCAAGTGCTAGACTAACCTACAGTGCTTGTAAATATGTACAACCATTCACTAGCTTCACTTGTACGAACTTACGGTATAGAAATGCACATATGTACAAAGATGGCTGTATGAAGATGGCATCACTTGTCATAGGAGACATGGGAAGAGGTCCAGTAGTTAGGACTGCATCAGTAAACCATGGCATATCTGGGTAATGGAACATCAAAAGTTACTAAAAGCAGTGAGGGGCTGCAGTGTGGCTCAATGGTTGTGTAGGCAGCCTTTTTACCCCGTCAGCCTGCTCCCAAATAACCACACAGAGACTTATTGTTAAGCATGAATACTCAGCCAATAGCTTAGGCTTGTTACTCACTCTTTCGATTTAAATTAGCCCATATCTCTTACCTACACTCCACCACATGGCAGTACCTTTTCCCAACACAGCATATCCATCTCCTGCTCCCTCTGTGTCTGGCTGGCGACTCCCTCCTTCTTCCCAGAGTTCTCTCAGTCTAGCTCTCCCACCTAACCTCTTTTGGTATAGCTATTGGCCAGTTGGCTCTTTATTAAACCAAGGAGATTAAAACATCTAAACAGTGTACAAAAGGATTATTCTACAGCAGGTTGTACTTAGCATGCCAAGGCCCTGGGCTGAATCCCTGTCACTGAGAATAGAGTGTCCGAGATACACTGTTTAGCACAATAATAAAGTCACATATTATGTGCAACATGAATCCGTTTAGGATGGATAATGATATATATGTTGTAATGAATGTCGGCAAATTCCCCCTAGGCAACGCTTCTGCTTAGCACGGTTCTAGTCCACAGCTGGCAACTTTCCACTGTGTTTCTTACCTAACAACTTGGTACAGAGTCTAATGCAGTCTGTAGCCCATCTTTCAGGGTTTGGCTGAGGTGTCATCTCCTCCATGCAGCTTCCCTAGTTTACCCCTGCCCCAGGTCTTATTTGGTTTTTTTTTGTTGTTGTTGTTGTTGTTGTTTTTTTTTTGTTTTGCCTCCTTCTCAAAGAAAAAAGAGTCAGTGTCTGGAAAGGAAGAAACAGCTGGAGTTTCAAAGTTGATTAAAATATGGATGTGCCTGGCTGAAAGATGGGTGCACAGATTATGGAACAATTGACAGTACAGAAACAAACTCTCGAAGTTATGGTCAATTGTCACTGCAAAAGGGGGCGGAGATCATTCAGCAAGGGAAGGATAATCTGTACAACTTGTGTATCTTATCAATCAGCTGGTGCGTACACCAGTGATACCCACGTCCACATCCACAAAAACGGCCCGCTGTTCACTGCTGTCCTTTAGCGTAAGGATGTACTTGGGCTAAACAATTTACCAACGTACGGATCACTACACTTAGCCTGGGAATCATGAGGACCCAAGAAAATCCATATAGATGAAGAGTTGGCGGCAGATGACCTGGAGACGTAGACGCCGCTCAGCTCAGAATTAACTGTCAACTCGGGCTTGCACTGCTTTTACCGAACGACCTTCACAAGCTGGATGTGTGTGGAGGAGTGAGCCCGAGTCGGCTAGCAGCACGGAAGTTACTTTTGCCGGCTCCTGCATCTTTTGGGGCAGGTACTCAGCCAACGAGCGGCACTAAAGGCAGGAGGACTCTGGCCCGGTGTCTATCGGAACCCGAACAACGGTGGTGAGCAACTACTTAAGTTCCTCTAGGGTCACTTTCCGCTCTTCCAGAAGTAACGTACCGCTCGGGTTGCAGGGATCCCTGTCCCTTTAAGGGGGCTTAACTTCACCCCGTTACTTCCGCCCCCAAGTGACTCGGCGCAGGCGCGTTGGAGAGAGTAGCGTGAAGCGGTGGGACTCTTTCCCCTTTACAGACATGGTGACGCCCTGGCTGCCGCGGGTGCGCCCGCCCGTGACGTCACTTCCGGGGCGGAGTGGGGAGAGTGGTGCAGTGAGGGACAAACAAAAGGAGGGCGCCGGAGGAGCGCGGCGTTCGGCGACGGGACTGTGTGGCGGAGGGCCGGGGCTGCCTGCCGGGCAGCTGCGAGTGGCGAGCTCAGGTGAGTGGGTCGGGTGTGGGATGAAACACGAGCTGTCACTTCACGAAACCCACTCCGACGTGCGCCTCGCCCCCGCGAGTCCTGGGCGGCTCTCGCTGTCCGCGGACGCCGGCCACCCGGGCCCCGCGCCGCCGCTGTGCTCCGCTCCGTCCGGCCTCCCGCGGGCGCCGTTCCCGACCCCACCCTCCCGGCCGTGCCGCGGCGCGCGAGCCCCCTCCCGGGCACCCTGTGCTAAGCGCGCTCCTCTCACCCAAGTTTCCGCCGCGCTCCCCAGGCCACACTTGTCGCTCTGGTCCTCGCAGATCCGCGCCCCTCCGCGCTGGCGCCCTCTTCCCAGTGGTTCCACCCGGACGTTCTCTGCACAGATTCCCCCCCACCAACTCCCCCGATTCTTAGCCGTGGGCTACTAGCCTCTTTCCTTGGACCCCTCCCTCTTCCTGATCTTCGGGACAGTTCCCTGCCCTGGGAGCGGGAGCACAGGTTTTTGGGATCTCGGTCTTTGGGCTGGGGTTCCCTGGAAGACCGGTTATTGATGTGAAACTCCCAATTGGTTCTGCCCCTGGGTTGTGCATCTTTCGGCGGGCAGGAGTGATCTAAGAAGGTGTGGGTGAGCTGGAGGTCAGCAAAGATGCTCCCAGGCTGAAGGAACAGCCCAGAGAGCTGTTTTTTTTTTTTTAGAAACAGTGTCTCACTATGTAGCCTTGCTTGTCCTGAAACTGTCTATGTAGATCAGGCTGGCCTCGAACTCACAGAGATCTGCCTGCCTCTGCCTCCCGAGTGCTGGGTAAAGACGTGGGTCCCTAAGCTCTGCTGGAGCCCTGGGTTCTTGAACCTGCCTTGGTGAATATTCCTCCCCTTCCTCTAGGCTTGAGTGAGCCAAGATGGGCTGGTTCTCCTCTGATCAATTCCTGCCTTTTTGGGGACGGACACATGAACTGAGTGAGGGATGAGTGTTAGCCTTTTCCTGATGGGAACAGGGCTGGCATAGTGGTAGTTCTAGGACAGCCACGCTTAACACTGCCTCCTCTTCCTCTGCCTCAGCTAGGGTACCTTTAAGGATGAGGCGTCGAAGGTGAGAGGGTGTGTGAGGACAGGGACACTTGTGTGCTGAAATTTGGAGGCAGAAATGAGTAGCCAGAGGCTCCAAGGACCTTTTTTTCCTTGCAAGTGTGTCAATGATACCTTTACCCCTGCCATCTGTGTTCTGCCCTCTGGAGCAGACAGGCCGGCCGGCAGGCAGACAGACAGACAGACAGATGCTTCAGAAGAAGAGTAGGTCGACTGTTGTGGTAGGGGAGTGGGAGTGTATTCTGAGGCGCAGTGTACTAGGCCATTCACACTACTGTTTCCTTGATGAAGGTCATGCTACCCTGTGGCTGCCTGGAGTAGGCAAGGACAGATAGTAGTGCTGAGGACGACTTCCTGGAGTGTGTGTAATGGGGTCAGTGCTCCACTTGGTTTTGAAGATGGTGTACAACAGCAGAGACCAGAGAAGCATTTGACACCCTTCACCACCACCATCACTACCAAAAAGTCAGCCTCAGACATTTGTTCTCTGTGCCTAAGGCATGCTTACTAGGACGAAGTTTCCTTGCAAATCTGAGTGGCCTTTGTGGAGGGTGTGGGCTGCTGAGGATCATCCTAATGTGGCAGAACCCCAGCTTGCTGCCTAGAAGAGCTCAAACCAACCTGTTCCCACCTCATTCACCTGAGACTGTAGATGAGTCTAGGTTTTTGCATAGAGACACCAAGGCACAGGCTGACCAGCAAAGACCTCCTGATAACTCGGGAGGAATAAATGCAGGCATTAAATACAGACAGTGGTGGTCCTGATACAGTCCAGAGGAAGGAGGAGGGAGCCTTGGGTTAGTGATCAGACTGCCCAGGGTACATGTCCTTCAAGAAGGGACCAGAAGAGTCGGTGAGTCCAGAGTCCTACTTTAGTCATGACTATGAATGCTGGCTGTCCACCATCAGCAGAGTCCCAGTCCTGCCTGAGACGGAGGGTGGGGCACAGTGGCCTGGATGGCCTCTGCTCCTCTGGTTCTAGGTGCTTTACTGCATGGTCACATGTAAGTCTGTCTTGTCCTCCTATGTCTTGGGAGACTGTGTTTGACCTCTATCTTTTACCGGAGACTGCATCCTAAGTTGACAGGTGTTCCCCAACTCACCCTAGACTCACCCAGGTCCTGCTGTGTGCTGCTTGCTTCCTGGATAATTCCTGCTGTTTTAACTCCCTCACAGAGGGGCCACATGCCCATCTTGGGCTGCTCTTCTCCTCTCTCACGTTGCCACCTTGTCTCTGGTGAGCAGTGCAGAGCACTGTGTCTCATGGGTACATGTGAGCGGAAATCCTTGTCTGACCTGGCTAGCTCCTTGCCACTCCTTTCTCTCCACTTCCACCGCCAGGACTAGTTGTGACCAAACAGTAGCTTGTAGCATCTTGCCCACCTCTTCTCTCCTGCCAGTGGTTACGTGCTCTGTTTCCTGCCTGGATCATTCTCTTACTCCTCATGCCCAGGGGTTACCAGAAACCTGCTCTTCTAGGAGCCTGTACTAACTAACCCCTCTGGTCTGGGCTGGGCCTGAGTCCCCAGCAGGGCCTTGGGGGCTCTTTGGAGAACCAGAGTCTGTGGGACAGGTGTTCCTGTTGCCTAGAGCCCCATATAGGCCCTGACAGTATCTTCAGGCTCTCTAAACGCTGACTCCAATATAAGGCTCTCTGACCCCACAGATGTACCTATTGACTGTAGCTCTTAACTTCTTCTTAGGGCGGCAGCAGCGTCCATGGAGCAAAAGGAATGCCAGGACCCTGTGCATCCAGACAGGGACCAGCCTCAGCACCAACAGCCAACACGAAGATAGCAGAGCCACCTCAGGGTAAGGCCTTCTCCGGACTTTCTGCACTGCCTCTCCCATGCAGATAGCATGGTCCATACCTCCATTTTCATAGTCCTTTGGCCTTTACAGGATACAGGGCATCTGAGTGTTCCCTGCTTGCTCTGCCTTGGTGTTTTTGTTCTTGTTTCAGTGGTGGGGATTGAACCCAGTGCCTCACATGTGTTAGACAAGTGCTCGATTGTTAAGTTACTTCCTAAACTCAGTATGTATCTGAGGTTGTCCTTGAACTCCCGATCTCCCTGCCTTTGTCTCTCTGTGCTGGGATTATAGGCACACACCACCAGTCTGGGGTTATGCAGTGCTGGGGATCGAACCCAGGGCTCTTTGTGTGCAAGGCAAGCACTGCTAGCTCCTACCCCCAACTTTATCCCCAGTCCTCGTTTCACTGTTCTATTCAGGCAGGGTCTTGCTAACTTTCCAGGTCAGACCTTAAACTCGCAGCTGAGTAGCCCCTGAGTAGCCAGACTACAGGCTTCTCGAGCAGGCCCAGCTGGCTGTGTTCTTTGGACCCAGTGCTGTTGCACTGAGCCTCTGCTTTGTCTTCCCTCTCCCCAGATCTTACTCGTGTGGATAGCTAGAAATGCTGCCTTGTAACACATTTCCCAAGATGTGTTCCTGCTAATTCTGCAGCTGCTGCAGGACTGGTCAGAGCCTAGAGAGCATGGGCTTGAACATGATGAGATGAGCAGTCCTCATACTTAGTGGTCATAAATATATCTGTTGGAGGCAGAGGGTCCTTTGCATACTTTGTATACTTTTTTCTTTTATTTGCTTTTTGAGGCAAGGTCTCTTGTAGCTCAGACTTGGTAGGTAACTGAAGATGATCTCCTACTTCCTGAGTGCCAGGGTTACATACTTGTAACACTGAGTGCACTTTATGTGGGTGCTTGACCTGGACCCCAGGGTTGTGTGCATGCTAGGCAAACACTACCAACTTCTCCAGGCCTCCTTTGTACTGGAGAGGTTTCCCAGGGCCAGAGGCTCACTAGCCAGGACCTGACTCAGTTAGATCTAGTTAAGACTCTCAGCAGTGTTTGCTGAGTGACTATGGGTGGTCAGCGTTGACAGCCTTGGGTCCCATGTCTTTAAGATGGAGGACTGAAGCTGCAGCCCTCTCATCAGCACTGGGGAGGCCGAGGCAGGAGGTTCACAAGCCTGAGATCAGCCTGAGCTACATACTAAAACTGTCTCAAGAAAATAAATGAGGAAGCGGCACTCTGAGTTTGAAGACAGCCTGATCTACATAGCGAGTTCTAGGACAGCCAGGGCTACATAGAGAGATCTGGTCTCAAAAACAACAACAGAAACAAAAAGCAAATGAAGAAGTGGTGAAGGGAGCACATTGACATTGTTAGCATGAGGATTAGATCCCCAGCAATCCTCCAAACAGGTGGTGACAGTAGTCACTTTTAGAGAACTGGTGTGGAGAGGGTGCTGAGCAGGGTGTGTCTTAGAAAGTGTTCTTTGCCTAGAGCTGGCCTGTGCTGAGACACTGAGCCCGCAGAACACTGGGACAGGATCTTGGGATTGGTTGCCAAAGCTTGAGCAGTGGTCTCTGTCAGTGTTAACCCACATAGAAACAGAGGCTCAGAACCAGGAAGCAGCATGCTAAAACCACCATGAGGAAGGTGGTATGGATTTGAACTCAGATCCTGTAACTCTGGCTGGGTCTGGTCCTTTGTTTTTGCCTCTGTCCCCCAACCTCTCACTCTTCCTCAGCCTGTAGGGGGTTGATGCTGCTTTCAACATCTATGTAGCCCGGGCAGGCCTCAAACTTTCTTGTTTGTTTGAGTTTTTTTGTTTTGTTTTGTTTTTTGTTTCCGAGACAGGGTTTCTCTGTATTGCTTTGGAGCCTGTCCTGGTACTCACTCTGTACACCAGGCTGGACTTGAACTCACATTAGATCCGCCTGCCTCTGCCTCCTGAGTGCTGGGATTAAAGGCGTGCGCCACCACTGCCAGACTGTTTGTTTTAGTTTTATTTTGTTATGTGTATGAATGATGAATATGTTTGCCTACATGTGTGTCTAGTACCCTTGAAGGTCAGAAGAAGGCTTTGGATCCCCTTGAACTGGAGTTAGAGACAGTTGTGAGCTGTCATGTGGGCGCTGGGAATTGAACCTGGGTCTTCTGCAAGAGCAACAAGTGATCCTAACTCCCGATCCATCTCTTCAGCCCCAACTCTTGATCCTCTTACCTCAGCTTGTAGAGGGCTGGAACTGTAGATGTGCTCCATCATATTGTTTAGATTTTAATGTCAATCGAAAGGTAAAGTCCTGACCCCTTCTTCAGAGACTGGGATAAAGGGGAGAGACCCCCACCACTACTTCCCAAAAGTCAGGTCACTGTGGAGCTGCCAGCTTTATTTAGCTCTCTTGTTTCTTGGAAGGGCAGCCCTTTCCTAGGACAGATTCAGACAGGCTGCTGAGCCTGGCAGACTGAAGGTGCATTGCTGCTGCAGCACCCCTGGGGCCCTGCCCTGGCCTGCTGGGCCTTTCTGACTGTGTGGGGCTTTGACATCTGAGAGGAAGGTGGAAAATGCCTGGTGTGTGGTGCTGTTCCTACTCTTTTGTTTATTGGAAGGAGGTCAGCAGTGACTGCCCTGCCCTGTGGGAGCTTCCTGTTGGTTGTTGAGGAACTCTGTCCCTGGAGAGTGGAGGCCTGAACTAGAGGCTGCCTTGCTGGGCAGTGGTGAACAGGAAGCAGCGGGAAGTGCCTATGTGAGGTGGGAATTCCTTCTTTGCTTTGAAACAGTGTGCAGGAGAGCCAGCAACATGCTGGCCTGAGGTTTGACCTGCCAATTTCTGCCTCTGCTGTCTGCCCGGGCCCCAGCAGGCCAGTGTAACACATGAGTAGAATTGGTTGCTGAATGTGCCTGTCTGTCCGAACAGACACTTGAGTCATAAGTGTCTCTGTTTATCCTTACAGTACCTACAGGACATTTCTGTCCTGGTCACAGGGTGTTCCTTTCAGGCATAAATCAGACTGGAAGATAACAGAAGGGCTTCCCAGTGTTATGAGTTGATAGATCCACTGTTGAGTACAGCTGACATCAGCATTTTTTAAAAATGGGATCACGTGTAGCCTAGGCTGGCCCTGAACTCCTTCTTTTTCTGTCTCATACCTCCCAAGTGCTGAGATTACAGTGTGTACCTCCATACCCAGCATCAGCAGGGATTTTATAGTGAGGCATGTCAAGCTTGGCATCTGGAGTCTGTGGAGTGATGTTTGGCAGGTTCTGAGTTCTTTGCTGAGCTCCTGGTGCCCGCTTCACTTGATGGTTTTCCTAGGTCATCTCCGACCTTGCGCTCCATTTCCTCCTCTGCTTTTCCCTTGCAGTTTCCCTGCTTCTCAGAGATAGATAGGAGTCGGTCCCCGAGTAGCTGATGGCTCGACTTCTACTCCCATCTCCCAACGCTTTATCCTCCTCAAACATCCTTAGTGCTAAGAAGCCTACCAGACCACTGCATTCACTTCTACCTCAGCCTTGATTTTGGTGACCTTTTACCTTTGGACAGACGAAGAGACCAGGCTTACAGGGACGTGGTCATTTGCCTGAAGTTGTAAGTGGCAACCCAACACCAGGGCTGAAACTGGTCAATGGCGTAGTGACCCATGCTCTGTCTACTCCACCCTCCCGGTTCTTCTCTGTCTCTTTACTTTGAGGATGCTTTCAGAGTGTGGTCCCAATCCCCAATCTAGAGTCAGGCCTGGAGGGCTGGACCCAGGAGTCTCCACGTGGCAGAAGCTCCCTGTGTGATCAGACTTAGTGCCTGCAGACTATGCTGGGGACACTGAACAGAAAGCCACTTGGCTTCAGCACAGTCTCCGTCTTTGGTAAATGAAGCCAGGCTAGTGGAGTGGAGCTCCCTCCAGAACCAGGTTGGATATTTGTGTTCCAGTGTCTGTGTGTGTGTGATGGGCTTCATCGTCTCTTGTGGAAGATTCGTGGGACGGATTCATGTTTCTGGAAGGGCTGTGACAACCCCCACCCCAGACATCTTGGGCTCTCTTGGTTTGTTTCAGCTTCACCTCCTGCCTTGCAGAAAGTTCTTTTCTGTGTCTTGAGGACTTGAAATCTCAAAATTAAATTGCTTGCTGAGTTACAGCACACACTTAGTGAAACATTCCTCTAGTGGAAAAGTAACTGTAAAATCCCATGCGCCCTCTCTGACCGTCAGCATGGCAAATGTGCTGCTCAGTAGCTCAGGTGGTGTGGCAGAATCCTAGCCTTGTGGGGCACCTTGCATCCCCCAGGTAGATCCCTGGGCTCTGATTCAAGGAGTGGTAGACAGCTTGCCTTCTGCTTGGTCCCCTTGCCTGCCTGGGCCAGGCCAACACCTCATTCCCCCGGACCCACAGCAAATGTGGATGTAGCTTGTTTGGAGTGCTTATAACTTCATTTCTTTTTCTTTTTTTTTGTTTTTTGAGACAGGGTTTCACTGTGTGTAACAGCTATAGCTGCCTTGGAACTCGCTCTGTAGCCCAGGTTAGACTTGAACTCACAGAGATCCACCGGCCTCTGCCTCCCAAGTGCTGGGATTAAAGACTCAGGTCACCACTGCCCAGCCATACCTCTGTTTCTTTCTTTCTTTCTTTTTTTTTTTTTTGGTTTTTCGAGACAGGGTTTTTCTTTATTGTTTTGGAGGCTGTCCTGGAACTCACTCTGTAGACCAGGCTGGTCTCGAACTCACAGAGATCCGCCTGCCTCTGCCTCCTGAGTGCTGGGATTAAAGGTGTGTGCCACCAACGCCTGGCCAATCTTAGACGACAGCAGGTATTCATGGCAGGTCTTTGCTTTGCTCCCAGGTACACAGACTCAAAACTGGGTTTCTGCCTGCCTGCCTGCCTGTCTGCCTTCCTTCCTTCCTCCCTTCCTTCCTTTTCTTTCTTATTTCTATTATTTGTTTATTTTGCATTCCAATCCCAGTTCCCCCTCTCTCCTTTCTTCCTGTCCCCCCACCACCTCCCATCTACTCC